TAGGACTGAACTGCCGATTGAAAGACTGGGAATACAAGCCTCAGCTACCCAGGGTCGCCATGTCATATTAAGGAAATGTATCGGTTAGGGCTCCAGAGAAACAAAAACAACAGTAGTGTGTGTGTGTGTGCGTCTAACTACTGAGAAAGAGAGATTTATTTTAAGGAATTGGTTCATGTGATTGCAGAGGCTAGCAGCAAGTCCAAGATCTGCCAGGTAAGCAGGCAAGCTGGAGCCCCAGGGAAGAGTTGCAGAGTGAGACTGTGGGCAATCTTCTGCCAGAATTCCTTTTCACCTGAGAGACATCATTCTCTTTCAAGGAAGGCCTTCCAATGACTGGATGAAACCTGCTCGCATTATGGAGGATGATCTGCTTTACTCAGAGTCTACTGATTTAAATGTTATCTCATTAAAAAAAAAATAAGCGCAGAAGCACTTAGAATAATATTTGATCAAATATCTGGGTATCATGGCCTCAACAAGTTGATGCATAAAATTAATCATGACCCAAAGTCATGTTTTATTTGGGGGTAGGGTGTTCTCAAGCATAAAGATCACCTGCATCCTGTATCAAGCAAATACATCCCAATAGTCCTGCGAAAATCCATCTGTCCCTTTGAAGAAAAGGAAGATAATAGTGCTGTTATTCCCTGACCACTCTATAAGATGTTGCCTAATCTGAGTCTGTCCTCTGCTTTTCTTACCACTGTTGCAACCCACACCGTATCTTCAAGTTCCCTGGGCCAGTATAATAGAAGCAAAGGCATGTACAGATTTTATGAGGACACAGAAGAAAGGGAAGGTCCCTGTCTTTTTAGTGGCTTTTTAGTGGCTAGTAAAGAGATTCTCAAGCAGGTATCTCCATAGGCTTCAATAAGATGTTATTTTCCTTTCATTTAAAATGTGTTTAATTTTTTTTCTACACCTCAATGTCTTGAAAATAGCTCAGTGAAGAGCAGAACGGCTCCCTTCATCCAGGAACTTGTTAAGAGTGTGCAAGTGCAGGCTGAAGACTGAACAACAGCCGCTGGAGAGAGCGTGATGAGATGTAACAACGAGAATCCTGTTGCCCGGCTATGAGGAGTAAGAGACCAACCCGATGTAAAACGGTAGGATTTGCGCTTCACGTCTTCCATTTACTCTCCCATGTCGCCCTCCGTCATTCTACCTGCTGCTGTGTGCTCTGTGCCCTAGAGAACTGACCTCTGATGGAGACTGGCTACAGGTTACTGTGCCACTGTGCTCAGCCAGTGGAGAGCAATGGTGAGAGGTGGAAGGAAGAAGGAAAACAAGGACTTGGTATTTATTTTGAGGCTCCCTCCCTGAGAGGGCCCATCGGGCTAGCTGTGTCCCTCAACCCAGAGTCACAGCTCCTTTCAGCCACCCCTTCCACAGGACTCCTGGGTCCCCTTCAGATCTAGGGTGGTTACCTGCTCCTCAGTGTTGCTAGCCCGGGGCGGGGCGGGTGGGGGGGTCCTGCACTTTCAGTCAGGCTATCCTCTCATCAGGCCACAACTCGTGCAAAAGCTCTTCCAATTACCTAATATGAGTGTGTTCTCTCTGCTGGCTGGGACTGACTAAAAAGGTATTCCACGTGTTATTTCTTGCTTTGTCTGAAGAGTTGGGATAATAAAAATCCTCGAAAACACTTCTGAGTTTTTTGCAATTCACGACTGAACAGATACCTTCTGATGTTACTCAATGTTCTTTAAGCACCGCGTAATAATTTCCTCATAAATCCAAGGCCCAACACAAATGTTCTTTATCCTGCCCCGAGAATTACATAATCCTTGGTGTTTCTCTTTTTATCCTAGTTTCAAGGAAGCTCAGTGTTGAACTCACTGTTTATTGTCAATAATTAATTCAACTGAGTACCCAGTTATAACTATTTCTCTGCTCCTTGAAATGTTTTTTTTTAAACTAGTTTTCATCCCATTTTGCTACTGTCTTTTTTTTCCCCCCACTGGTTTTGGTCTTGTGAGTCATCTAAATTCTTTTGGGAGAAAAGGAGAAAATACATCCTAATTAATAAACATTTCAAAATAAAAATCAGGCCTAGATCAGTGTGAAACCTAGGTTCACAAGGGTCCTCTTGAAAACAAGCCCCAGAGGCAAGAGGCAGAGTGCCAGGAAGAAGGTGGATCCCACCCAAAGGCAACTGGGTCCAGGCAGTAAATCCATAACCAGCCCCTTTTTTCCACCATTGGAAGCAACCCCAGCCCTGGATAGTATGTCTGTTTATTTAGTTCCCCAAGGGGCTTAATAGATATTTAGGAAAGACCCAAACTTACTCTTGGTGTGGTGCTCCTGTCTTTGTCAGCAAAGTCAGCACAAAAAACATGAAAATCACGAAGACAGCGAGACCAACCCAAAATCCAATCACAATGGAATCTGTAAACAGTTAATACTGGGATTAGTACTTCACAGCAGTTTAAAACTTGAACATTCAAGAATCTGAGTGTTTTGTTACCCGAAATGAGAGAAGAAAGTCGACAATCTGATAAGACAATCTTGACCCATTAGTCAACTGGGGGCAGGTAAGATGTAGGGAATGAGGGCGAGGGAAGAGCCTGCATGCCTCCAGGTTTCTGTCTCAGATAGCTTTGAGAAACTTTGGCCTTTTTGATTCGTGGTTTCCATATCTTAATGAAGGAACCCAGGACAGAGGGTGGACCATCTAGGTCCTTAAGATTCCACTGAAGTTTCTTGAGTTAGAAAATATCCTTTTTAGGGCGCCTGGGTGGCTCAGTTGGTTAAGCGACTGCCTTCGGCTCAGGTCATGATCCCAGGGTCCTGGGATCGAGTCCCGCATCGGGCTCCCTGCTCTGCGGGGAGCCTGCTTCTCCCTCTCCCATTCCCCGTGCTTGTGTTCCCTCTCTCGCTGTGTCTCTCTCTGTCAAAAAAATAAATAAAATCTTTAAAAAAAAAAAAAAAGAAAGAAAATATCCTTTTTAGGGGCACCTGGGTGGCTCAGCCAGTTAAGCGGCTGCCTTCGGCTCAGGTCATGATCCCAGGGTCCTGGGATCGAGCCCCGCATTGGGCTCCCTGCTCCACGGGAAGCCTGCTTCTCCCTTTCCCTCTGCCTGTCTCTCTGCCTACTTGTTCTCTCTCTCTCTCTGTCAGATAAATAAGTAAAATCTTAAAAAAAAAAAAAGAAAATATTTTTAGCAGAGACTGCAATGTGAAATTTAAAATAAATTCTGGGGGTGCTTAGCTGGCTCAGTTGGTAGAACATGCAACTCTTGATGTCAAGGTCATGAGTTCAAGCCCCATGTTGGGGGTGGAGCCTACTTAATCAAAATGAATTTTAATTCAAAGGAACCCAATTTTGTATTTTCACTTACATTCATGCAGGAATAATTCAAGTCCTCATTACTTCTTGAGAACATACAAATAACCTCCTGTGTGCTCTCCCCGTCTTCTACCTTTCCTCTGTCTCATCCCTGGATGAAACTACTTTATGACAACTCTGTTAATATTGCTGCTTTATAAAAAAACTCTTCGGCAAAGCAAAAACAAACAAACAAAAAAACTCTTTGGCAAAACTAGGCTTGACCTTTTCCAAATTAAAAGAGATTCCATAAGTAAAGCACTTTCTAGAATGTCTGGCATGTGAGAAAAATGTGCCTCATGTTTGCCAGCTATTTTAGTTAAAATTAGCATCAGTTTCTCCCAGTCTACCTATACTTTAAAACCCATGTTTCCAAGTAGACAAGGGAACACTGTGCCTGTATTTATCTTAACTCTTAGCCATAACTTCCTAAGATCCACACCTTTTCTGGGGCTCTTACCCTCACCTGGTTGGAACAACTTTCCCCAACATAGAGCTAATGAAAGTGTATCCATCTTGGGCTCAGTTGGTTAAGCGACTGCCTTCGGCTCAGGTCATGATCCTGGAGTCCTGGGATCGAGTCCCACGACGGGCTCCCTGCTCAGCACGGAGTCTGCCTCTCTCTCTGACCCTCCCCCCTCTCATGCTATCTCATTCTCTCTCTCAAATAAATAAATAAAATCTTTAAAAAAAAAAGAAAGTGTATCCATCCTTCAATGCCCATTCCTTACACCATCTCCCTCACAAAGCCTGGACTAATTTCCCTAACTGTTGTGTTTTCTCCCTCCTTTGAACCCCATGACATATTTATGCTTCTCTACATGGGCCCTTCCTTGATCCTATCTTGGGTAATAATCACAAGTGTATGTCCTTGGGACAGGGATGACACTGGATTGTCTACACAGGCTGGCACATATATTATAGGGTCTTAAATCTGGGGGAGGCACCAAAGTTGAATTATTTTACATTTTCTTTTTTTAAGTTTTTAAAATTTAAATTCAGTTAATTAACATATAGTATATTATTAGTTTCAGAGGTAGAGTTTAGTGATCCATCAGTTGTATATAACACCCAGTGCTCATTACATCAAGTGCCCTCCTTAATGCCCATCACCCCATCCACCTCCCCTCCAACAACCCTATTTTTTCCCTATGGTTAAGAGTCTCTTATGGTTTGTCTCCCTCTCTGATTTAGTCTTACTTTATTTTTCCCTCCCTTTTCCTATGATCCCCTGTTTTGTTTCTTAAATTCCACATATGAGTGAAATCATATGATAACTGTCTTTCTCTGATTGACTTATTTCACTTATCATAATACCCTCTAGTTCCATCCATGTCATTGCAAATGGCAAGATTTCATTTTTTTTTTTTGATGGCTGAGTAATATCCCATTGTATCTCTATATCACATCTTTTTTTTTTCATTCATAAAACTTTTATTCCACTTACATGAACTTAATACATGTGTTCTTAACAATTATGCTTGGATTGTTCATGAAAACTTCATAAGACATTAAACAAAGCTAGCCATCATCTCAAGTTATTTCCCTGTTAACTATTTTTACAGCACATGCATGTTAGGCAAGTATCAAAAAAAAAAAAAATCACAAAAGCAAAAAAAACCCAAAACAAAACAAAAAACAAAACAAAACAAAAAAACCCTAAAAAAAGTTAAATACATGGGATTTTTATTTTGCTGCTGTACTTGATATACATAAAGTAATGGATATCGAGCAATTCATTTTTACTGCGTCTTTACTTGTACATTTGTTCTTAGGTTGCCTAAAACATTTAAATACAAATAAGAGGAGTGTAGCAAAAATAATGAGAGCAAACAGCAGGTAACTTTACAAATAATGGAATGTGAACCGTTTCTGCCCTTATCCAGAGTAAATTGGGTCACAATTAAAGGAACACTTCTGCAACTGTAGTCAAAGGTGTGCACATTGAGAGTATTCCACAGATACTCATGGTTCAATAGGTAATATCTACAGAATACCCATTTCTATGACAGCCTTGTAAGTGCTCCAAACCTTATAGTACCCACAGAAACTACACCTGTATCTGGAACCAATTATCCCTTTTATTCTCCACCAGGACAAACCAATATGTAGGCAGTTTTCTTTGCTTAGACATGGAAGCAGTTTTAACACTGGCCCTTGTGAAGCCACAATGTACCAAAAGTACTATGCCAAACATTTATAACTAGTATAAAAATTCCACATCCCCATATTGGCCACCTCAAGATGAAAACAGATAACTCCCTAAATGTTAACTGGCTCTACTCCCCTAATATTCAACATAAAAACCACATGGGAAATATAGAAATTCAAATAGAAGTAACATAAACCTGTCATAAATCATAAACAAAAAACTATTTGTGAGACAGCATGGATGACAAATGGTCTACTGTGTAAATTTTAGAATGAGGCAGACAAAAGTTGGAAGGCCGGTTAATTTTCCCCTCCTTCTCCTGCTTCAGCTTCATCTCCTTGGGTGTCCGATATCCACAATGTCAAGTTGTCTCTCAGTAATTGCATTATTAGCGTGCTGTCTTTGTAGGACTCTTCACTTAATGTATCAAGTTCAGCAATGGCTTCATCAAAAGCTGTCTTTGCAAGAGAGCAAGCTTTCTCCGGGGAGTTCAGAATTTTGTAATAGAACACAGAGAAGTTAAGGGCCAGACCCAATCTAATAGGATGTGTTGGTTGCATTTCCTTTTTGCTGATTTCAAAAGCTTCTTGGTATGCTTGTTGTGACTGATCCACAATCCCTTTCTTGTCATCACCAGCAGCAACCTCGGCCAAGTAACGGTAGTAGTCTCCTTTCATTTTCAAATAGAAGACTTTGCTCTCTGCTTGTGAAGCATTGGGGATCAAAAACTTTTCCAAAAGAGACAGTACATCATTGCAGATATCTCTTAGCTCGGTCTCCATTTTCTCTCTGTATTCTCGAGCCATCTGCTGTTTTTTCTCAGCACCTTCCATCTTTTGCTCAATACTTGAGACGACCCTCCAAGATGACCTACAGGCTCCTACAACATTTTTTTTTTAAAGATTTTATTTATTTATTTGAGAGAGAGTGAGAGAGACAAAGAGCACAGGAGGGGGGGGCGGGAGAGGGAGAAGCAGACTCCCTGCTGAGCAGGTAGCCAGATGCGGGACTAGATCCCGGGACTCCAGGATCATGACCTGAGCCGAAGGCAGTCGCTTAACCAACTGAGCCACCCAGGCGCCCTCCTACAACATTTTTATAAGCAACTGAGAGAAGATTCCTCTCCTCACCGGATAATTCAGCTCCTTGCTCAGTTACAGACTTCATGCAGGCTGCCATGTCTTCATATTGCTCAGCCTGCTCGGCCAGTTTGGCCTTCTGCACCAGCTCATTTTTATCCATGACTGGATGCTCTGTGTTTGGAGTGGGTGGCGGCGGACGGACGGGGGCTCAGCAGTCCCCACATCTTCTTTATTCATTCGTCTGTCAATGGACATCTGGGCTCTTTCCATATTTTGGCGATTATGGACATTGCTGCTATAAACATTGGGGGTACAGCTGCCCCTTCAGATCACTATATTTGTATCCTTTGGGTAAATACCCAGTAGTGCAATTGCTGGGTCATAAGGTAGCTCTATTTTCAACTTCTTGAGGAATCTTCATACTGTTTTCCAGAGTAGCTGCACCAGCTTGCATTCCCACCAACAGTGTAGGAGAGCTCCCCCTTCTCCGCATCCTCGCCAGTGAGATACCACCTCACACCAGTCAGAATGGCTAAAAATATTTTACATTTTCTGATCTATTCTAAGTTTACCTACATGACATTACAGTGAGAATGCTTAGAAATTTAAAAAAAAACAAAAACAAAAACACATTAAGTTTTAAAAAAACACATTAAATGTGTTTAAATGCAAAGCATTATTCTAATTAAATTATGTATTGCCCTTTTTCTGAAGTTAAGAAATCAGATTAGCAATTTACTCTGAATAATTCATATTTCATTCTACATATATGATTGCCCTGAAGTTAATTTTTATTCAACAATGTTTATTCAGTGCTCTGGACACTGGATTAAAAATGCCAAAGAAATAGAAACTGTAGACTTTGCCCTGAACCCTAAAAGTGACAAAAGGACAAATACCAAAGAAACACATGGACACAAATGCAACCAACATGCAATAATAACATCTCAGTTGGGGGAGCGCAGCCTGTGAAGCCCCACCGTACAGATGATGACAGTTCAGCATGCTGTACTTCATCAACTGCCTGCATAGCAAAAGCAAATTCTAAAAGTATATGCAAGAATTATATTGAAGTTCTCAGTTGAGAATTTAATCTGGTCATGTTGATTCACATTGGAAGGTGTTCGCATTAGGACAGCTTTCACACTGCAAACATGGCTGGATCCCCATCAGTCTTTCACTTCTCTAGCTCAGGGTGGGCAGGGAGGGAGGAAGGGTGCCTTTAACCCAGCCTAGTTCCTTCTCTCTGCCTTTCTAGTGCCCCAGGGAGCTGATCAAAAGGCAGCAATAATGTGGGGCATGAGAAGGTCATGGCCCTCCCTTGAAGTCACAGGGGAGCAGACTAGGGAGGATCAGGGCTATGGTTAGAACTTGAGAATGTCAGTGATCCAACAGCATTTCCAAATGCTTCCTTAAAGACACGGCATCTACATTTCCTATCACAATATGCTTTAAGTGGCTCTGTTTATTCACATTCCTCTTCAAACGGAATTTTGCTTCCTCTAATTATTTCCATTAGTTTTCCTCTACCTCATCCTCTGCCACATGGCCTGACCCTAGGGCACTTTCTTACGCAGAGCCCCTTTCGGGGAATATCAGAGATTCCCATCTCCTCCCAGGAATATCCAAACACTCTTGCAGTTTTATTTATACATCAAGTTTCACGGACATGGCCATGGCGGTCAAACAGGGAAAGCAGAGCCCCTGGCCCTCTCCAAAGCACCCTTCCCTGAGAAGGATTCAAAATAAAGGTTTATAGAGAGTGAAACTCCAATGATGCCAGTTGGTTAAGGAAACCAAGAGAAGCCTTCCAAAGGTGTTTCTAACAGAGCCCAGCAGCCACTTCTGTCCTGTCTAGGAACTGTACAATTTAGAGATCATTATAGTAAAGGAGTAGAGTAAATTGCCAAGGGGAATTCTAAATGGAATGTGTCATAATAAACTAACTTCCCTTCAACCTGACCGTTAATAAATGGGATGAAACAGAGCAGAAAGCTGACGGCATGGCTTTTACTGGTATGATCCTGTTTCTCCATGATTATCTCTTCTCCTCTAGGGTCAGACTAGGGCCAACTACCCCAATGTCGGCCTCACTGAAATAAATTCCTTTCTTGTTCCACCAGCACGCATCTCCCTGCCTTTGGATTTTGTCAGCTGCAAGTGGCCAAACCTGGTCTGTTTAGGACCCCCAGAGCCTGGTGCTCTTGGAGCCCTGCGCCCCTCCTACCAAACTTCCATCTCCTAGTTTCTCCCTGGCAGGGATTTAATTGCATACTTCCCCAGCTGCTGCCTAACGGTCTGGCTTCTAATCAGGCTGCATCTAGGTAGGTGTCGACCACAATCTTCCCCTTGGGGACACAGGCAGGTCTTGACACACCCTCAAATACTGGGAACCACTGAGAACAAAGAAATTTGCTTTGACAATCATAAAAGTTCAAGAGGCAACTAGGAGCCCAGGGTAGGCTGAATGACAAGGTCAATCTCCTACACAAGACCACTCAAAACTGGGAGAGGTAGCTGTTTTCTCTAATGCACAGAAACCAGCACAAAGAGTCAAGGGAAATTAAGAAATAGAGGAATATATTTCAAGCTAAAGAACAAGATAATCTCCAAAACCAGATCTTAATGAAATAGATATAAGCAATTTACCTGACAGAGAGTTCAAAATAATAATCATAAACATAGGGGGCAAGCTTCTTGACATCGGTCTTCACAATGATTTTTTGGATTTGATACCAAAAGCAAAGGCAACGGAAACAAAATAAATAAGTGGGACTACATCAAACTAAAAAGCTTCTGCAGAGCAAAGGAAGGCACCAACAAAAGGAAAAGGAGAAAATATTTGCAAAGCACATATCTGAGAAGAGGTTAATATCTAAAATATATAAGGAATCCATACAATTTAATATCAAAAAGCAACCCAATTAAAAAGTGGGCAAAAGACCTGAATAGATATTTCCCAAAGACATCCAAATGGCCAAGAGGCACATGAAAAGGTGCTCACCATCACTAATCATCAGGGAAATGCAAATCAAAACCTTAGCGAGATACCACCTCATCCCTGTTTGGACATCTATTCTCAAAAAAGACAAGAGATAAAAAATGCTGGTGAGGATGTGGAAAAAAGGGAATCATGGTGCACTGCTGGTAGAAATGTAAATTGGTACAGCCACCATGATAAATAGTATGGAGTTTCCTCAAAAAAGTAAAAATAGAACTACCTAGGACCCAGCATTCTCACTTCTGGATATATATCCAAAGGAAACAAAACCATTATCTTGAAGAGATATCCATACTCCCACATTCACTGAAGCATTATTCACAATAGCTAAGGTATGGAAACCACCTAAGTGTCCATCACTTACATAGATGCACACACACACAGACACACACACAGACACACTAAAATATTAGTTGGCCTTTAAAAAGAAGGAAATTTTGTCATTTGTGACAACATGGGTGAACCTGGAGGGCATTATGCTATGTGAAATAAGAACCAAAAAAAAGTCAAACTGATAGAAACAGAGAGTAGAAAATTGGTTGCCAGGGACTGGGGGTGGGGAAAATGGAGAGGTTGGTAAAAGGTACAAACTTTCAGTTATAAGAGGAATAAGGCCCGAGGATCTAACATATAACATGGTCGGTATAGTTGACAATATGTATTATATAACTGAAATCTGTGGGAGTAGAACTTAAATCTTCTCACCAAAAAATAAATAAATGAAGGGAAATATCTGAGGTGATGAGTATGTCGATTAACTCGATGGAGGGAATCCGTTCACAATGTATATGTGTATCAAATCATCACTTTGTACCCTTTAAATATATTACAATTTTGTCAATTATACCTCAAGAAAGCTGAACAAAATTTAGAAAGCCTTCCTTACAAGGGAGCAGCAGGTGAATGTGGGGCATCATGAACGCCAACACACATCAGAGTGGCAGCACCCAGGAAATACTAAAAGAGCAAAAGTATTTCCTTTGCCATATTTGCATCTCCATTTCTAATCTTTCTTTTAGTTCCTAAGGTGTCCCATAAAGCTGAACCAGTTAAGAACCTAACATTTTTATCGTGCTATGGATATTCATTCTGAAACAACCAAACATCTCTGGGATATTTATTGGGTAACCACAACAGGATCTGGGAATGGGCAGTAGTTCCTGGAAGACAGATGCTTCGTGCTGACCAGGAGCATGCAGTTATATGACTCGAGTTGGACAGTAACCTTGCACAGAATTGTCTTTCCTTGCTTTGTGCTGGATTATTAATCACTCCAATAACATGAAGCACAATTTATGCCTATCATGCAGAATTAGGAATGGTTGCAGGCTATTCCAGTCCATCATTATGAATGCACACAGATAGACTGCTCTCTACAGCCCCAGAAACCCAGCAGGGCTGAAAGGATGCCGTTGACCATGAGCTACAAAAGAAGGTTCTTCAAATAATAGCTCCAGACTTTCCTTTTGTACATATTTTTGATGGTCCAAATGTTCACACAGTTCGGGAGAGCTGGAATGATTAATACTTTAAAAAGAATCTCAGTTTGAGAATGACATTGACTCAGGGTCCCCCACTAAGGGAACCTTTCAAGTTCTTTGTCACTCATGTAATACCATCCCTGAGCAGTCAGCCTGTGTTTGGAAGGGGGTGTTTTCTGGGACTTGGGGGATACAGAACAGAGTTGTGTAAAAAGAATGTTCAGGAAAATTAATCACTGGGGATTTCACAGGTTAAGACAAATACATTATATTTACAATGGGGAACTATAGACTTACATTTATGAGCCTTCAGTCCTTCAAAGGAAACTGGTCCAATCTCATAATATTCATATTCCCAGGTGTAATCAGAATTAGGTGCAGATTGCTGGGAGGTTCTGTTAGAGATTAATCTCTGGGCAGACATCTTCACCCTGCACAAACGGAGAAAGACAAGTGTAGAGCCTGTTAATTCATCCTCAACTGCACAGCTACTCTACCTGCTCTTGACCACATTCAGAAGTTCAGAAGGCAAAGGCATCAGTGAGGTCCCATCCACTAGGTCAGGGTGAGGTCCTCAATGGCTGCCTATACTTCACACCAAGTGGCCATTGTTTCCTTTTATCTCTCTGCTAGACTGGAATGTTTTTTAAAATCAGACACCATGTCTTCTTTTGTTGCTGTCCCCCAGGACTTAACCCAGTGCCTGGCACATAACCAACT